CCAACTGATTTTTAGGTACATGTCAAAGCTAGTGGGAGCATAAGTGTTATGCCAATAATAATATGATTATCATGTTAGTGGGTGCATGATTAATATGGTAAATGTTGTGAGTTAGCAATCTTAATAATAGAAAACAAAAGTTTCAATTCGCAATGTCGCAGGGTTTGAAAAGTTGTTTTTCTATAATTAAGGGAGACAAATTCATACTTCATTTCAAATCTAAAATCTTAGATTGAGATTTTAATTGAATTTAGTCATGGACATATGCGAATGTTATGTTGAAAAGATTCGACATAAGGAAATTCCATATATGGAAATGTTATAGCAAGAGACTGGTAAAGTATTAGGTCTTTATGTAAGACATTATGAATCATGTCCCATATGCTTCGGATATAGGATCGATGGCATGTTCTCTAATATTCTCTTGTTCTAATTTTCCAAATGCCTAGGGAATTAAGAAGGAAAAGGAACTAGAACGAGTTATGAATAAAAATGTTAAGCAATTGTCGAGGACAATCTGAGATTTACCAAAGATTGGTTGCTTATGGACGGTTGGGAGTATAATATAAATTTTTGGAGGTCCATGTTGACAAGTTCTGAGAAGAGGTAACTCTTGTTCAGAAGTGTCAGTCATATGGAATTATGGAAATGTTCCATAACTGGAAGTTAATCATAAAATGTGTGTAAGATTAGAAACCTTAATGCAAGAAGGATGTTCGAAGGAATGTACTCTCAATATGAGACTTTGCTTGCATGGGATTGGTTCAGTAACCAATGTCCAAAGGGAATACTTTGTAATGTTATTGGCATAGTTGTTGTGACTTTGTGCATTGACATTACGAAAGGTTTATTGCATTTAAGTTTAGAATCTAACAAATTATAGTAAAAGGCAAAGAATCTTGTATTCTTCCACTTACTATAAGGATTTGGAATTGCAAAATGAGAATCATTGAAATGTTTTCAATTGATCAATTTCATAAAGAAAGGACCATAGGTAAACATATTGTGCATGATTGGAGCATGGGATAACTATTTTTTTAATTCAAGTATTAAGTTGATAAGTCGAAACATTATACAATGAATAATGAGTAATAAATATGACAATTAAATAAAAGGTGTTTTATTTACTCTCAAACGTTTTGGGGTCATATAAGATTAGTATTATTCTTGTGTTTCACTTTGCATTTTTTGACTTCCAGAATAATAAGATTATTCAAGCTATCCACAGTCAATCCTACTTTGGAAGTAGGTATGAAGCAAGACTGTCATGATTTGGCTTGTAAGATTGTATAAGGTGTTATACATAGCAAAATCCTGCTACACCATTCATAAGTGCTAGAAAAATAATATTTGAGCATTAGATCAACGCGCACTCACCTGAATCACTTCATGGAATTTATCATGAATGATTGTGAGATGATAATATCATATAGTCTTCAAACCAAGATATATCAGTTGGTGACTACAAATTGGTTATGCATTGATGGTATGAAAACACATCAGTAACTTGATGTTATAAAACGTATCGTTGTGCATGATTTAAGGAGTGGTTAGTACAAGCATATAATGTCGAAGTTTGTCTGTTACTTTTATCCTAAAAGTATCAAAGGTGATATCTTAGGACCCTTGAAGATTTGTTTTGACTTATATGCCAGGCCCGGTCAGAACTAAATTGATGTGTTCAATTATGTTTTATGCCAAACAAATCGGAAATCGGGAAACAAACTGCTAGAAAATAGTATGACATTGTTACATGTATTTTTCCAGCTAATATCTTGTAGAACATAGGAATATATGATCACTTATCTAAAGGAAGGTCACTGAATGGGTTAGAGTTTGACAGTGGCTTTTGAAAGCTATGATTGCTAATCGGTTCTTGAATTCGTACTTGCGGTTATAGTTATTAGACTTATCCAAGTGGGAGACTATTGGATTAGGTGTCTAAGCCCATAACTATAACTGTTGGATTAATATATTATATGTATAATATATTAATCTGAAATTATATTATTTATATAGTATTGATCAAGAATTAATTTTGAATTAATTTAGTGATTAAAAAAGACTAATTAAATATATGGGGATTGATTATGTAAATCAATCATTCTTATAGTGTGGGCCAATGATCCATTAGGATGGGCAAAATAATCCATGGATAATCCATGCAGGTTTAACCCATGCAGTCTAAGGGATATGGGAGGTCATGGAGCTTTAGTGTTTCATGGGTGAATCCTTAACCTTTGGAACACTATTAAAGGAACCCCTTACAGTCATTTTCAACCACCTAACATACTAAGAGTATGTAAATCAATTTTGAGCTTAACAAACTTATTCTCTCAAGCCTCCTTTTACACTTGGTGTTTGCGACACATTAGAGGCATCACATTTGAGGTTCTAAAACTTTTGAAGGCAAAGAAATACAAGTCCTACTAAGAGGTAAGTCATCTAACTAGTTGTATTTTTTAAATTGTCAAATTCTATGCTAGTTAGGATGAATGCTTTGGAAATTGATATTACATGTATAATTAGAGAAAACATATATCCAAAGCATCTAGGGTTGCATGTGCACCATAGGAGTGTTATAGTGCTCAAAACCCAACAAATACATGTGCTCAATATTTCATTTTCAAAACACTCTTGAAAACATACTACAATAAGTTATTATTTTATTTAAAAATGCATCATATCTAGCCTATAAATGTTATTTTGTTAAGTGACACTTCGTTTACACATAAACTAGTTTTAAACTAGATACGTATATGTTATGGTTTTTAACATGCTACAACTTCTCAAAATAACATATCTTTTCACTACAAAAAGTTATGATTTTATGTGGCAATGTATGTCATAAATCACATGTCATAAAAATGTTATCGCGTTTGTAGTATTTCCAACGATTATCATGCATGTGTGTGTGTGTGTATATATATGTATATATATATATATATATATATATATATATATATATATATATAAGTTATAAAAATTATAACTTGGAATTTATACATGTACTTGTGTTCACTACTATCAGATTTACCACTTATTTAAGTGAGTATTGTACACTTTTACATATATACTTATCGAACATACTCGTCCTTTATAATCTTTATGTATCATAAATTATTTGGCTAGTGACTATCCACATGTAAGTTATGGCTGAGAGTTATTCGTATACATTAGTTAAAAGCTTTATAGTGAGATGATATTCATTAACTAAGTGCAAACACTTAGTATACTCACACCACTATAACCGTTAATCCTCAGGGCGAGATATGTATGTATAGACCTATACGATTTTGCACCCCCACCTGCGGTTGCTAACTACAACCATGACATCAAGTTGAAGTAGGTGATAAATATATTAGGTCAACACAACATCAAATGAAGCGTTGTAAGGGGTACTTCAGTCACATAGCGTGGTATAGGACACACTATAAACATCGAGTGGATCTCTTTATCTCTCTCTCTCTCTATATATATATATATATATATATATATATATATATATATATATAAACCATGAATTCGGTTTATCTCTTTACAAAACATTTATACGTATGGTTTTACTTGGGTGTGACAAGATTTGGTAAATCATCGAGAGATAACAGGGGAAAGAGAAACAATGAGGTGTTAATGGGAGTTTTCTTAAAAATCATAACCACATAACTCTTGGAAAGGTATTTGTGATGTTATACATTACAAACTGTTTGTTGAATATTGAATCTAGTGAGATGCGGGAGTTGTGTGAGAAGGTAGTAAATATTTATATTACCAAGGAACATTCAAAACTAAGGACATGTTTTACGTTCATAAGGTTTTTATGCTCTTGCTAATAAGTTCAGTTCAATATGGATCGATAATCATCATGTCGTTGTATCAATTTTACATGTTTATAATTTTTTTTTTTTGGGGGGGGGGGGGGGTTGGCGGGAGGGGAATAAAACAAACAAGGTGTGTACTTTATAATACATCAATGCAGATCTAGACTCTAAAGAAACATTTATTGTCACACCCATGACTTGCGGCCAAAACACCAGGCTGTGCAACGTTTAGCGATGTTGGATCTGGAGGCAAGTATATTGAAGAACAAACTACTGAAATAGTCCCTATGGTTTGGCTAAGATTGCGCATGTGGTCCCTATGTTTTGTTTTGCACTCGGATCATCGCCACATTTTCTTTTTATTACCCACCTGGTCCCTGGGTCCGTTAGTCGTCAATTCCAAACGTTAAATCCCCCCCCCCCCCCCCCACGTGCTTCGCACTTGAGGGGGTTTTTTGTTATTTTATATACAAAATCTATTAGAACACCTTAAACCTTGATTCTCTATATTTTCAAATATGCCCTTTCTTTGTCTCTTTCATTTCCTCTCCCATGAAGAGTCGATCAACCCTAATGGAAAAAACCTGCAAGTGTGGTCAAGTTGGTGTGATACAAAGATTGACCTCCAAAAAAAACCTTGGAAGACTTTTCTATTGTTGTACTAGGAAGGTAAGGGAAATTTCTTCTTAAGTGTATATATATATATATATATATATATATATATATATATATATCACATACCTTTAACACAAAACAAATTACTCAAAATGCAGGGAGCAATATGTGGTTTCATAGATTGGGTTGACGAGCACAACTTTAATGGTGAAAAAAATGGAAAAAGTATCTCCCATGATTTGCAGAAGTCATTGGATGAGCTTCAACAAGAGAATAGGGCCTTGAGGCTGTTATTAGTGTTCAGTTGGGTTTTTTTTGTGTTAGTTTTAATTTACAAGCTTTAATTTATGCTATCAATGTACTTATCTTTTTTTTCATCAGGGCAATAATGTAATTGAATGACAATGTATGACTGACTAGAATTGTCTATTGGAATGCAATTTTCTATTGGAATGGAATTCATTGTTTTATAATGGAATGGAATTTCGTAATTTGTAATGGAATGGAATTTAGTGGTTTGTACTAGAATGCAATTGACTGTTTTATAATGGAATGGAATGGAATTTAGTGGTCTGTAACGGAATGGAATTGAGTGGTTCGTACTGGAATACTTTTCCCTTTCTTCCCAGCCTTCCTTGTCCTGCTTGAAATTCCATCACATGCACTTTGAGTTCCGCTTTTCCTACCACCACCTGCACTTTGAGGTTTCTTCCAAACATTCCCCTTCTTGCTTGAAGTACCATCACCTGCACTTTGATCTTTCTTCCCATCCTTCTCTTTCTTGATTAAAGTACCATCACCTACACTTTTAGCTTTATTCCCAGCCTTCCCTTTCTTGCTTGAACTAGCGTCACATGCACTTTGACCTTTGCACCTTCTTTTATTATGACCAATATTTTTGCATTTTGAACATGTCACACTCTTGTCCTTCCTTGATGCCGTATGTCACACCCCCGAACCGTGGGAACAAATGGCGGAAAAATCTGGGGGTGGATGGCGTCATGTGTAGTATCACAACAATTGTAGCATAGTAATAAAAGTAAACAAAACCATTACATTGTAATATGAATACTTACATTTGTTTGAAAACATAGTTTGTATACATCGAAATGAAAAAAAGTAAAAGACGAGATTTCCAAAACACTTCGTCTTCACGAAAAGTTCGTGTGGGTACCTCTCTATTGTTGCTCTGAGAATACAAGCAGTTTGAAACAATATCAGCATAAAGTTGGTGAGTTCATAATCATTTAATTTTGGTGGAAAATGTTTCTTTGATCCTTTTGAAAAGATTTCCTTAAGAAAATCCTATATTTTCTTATGAAAGGTATTTGAATATCTGTTAGTTATTTGTTAAACAATTCGTTTATGGAAGATTGAGTTATCCCAAGAAAATCTTATATTTTCCTTAAAATTTGATGGTTGGTTATTTGTTCTAGTCTGAGGTGTACATGTATCTACCATACTTATATCATTAGATGTAGATTTCTTGAAAAATCTTGTTTGCTCCATGTGAGGTATATTAGCCTTATTACATAAATAAAACTAATAAATACGTAGCAAACTAAATCCTAAAGGTATTATTAATACTCTCTAGTAATCAATTCGGTTATTACTTTGAGGTTAGTTTGCTTGTTTCATTATTACAAAAGTAAATTACTGCTATCTAAGTTGCGAGTGTCATAACCATACTTAGACTTGATATGGCACGTAACGGGGCCAGTATCTCAAACTTAGACTAACAAATTTACAAGTGATAATACTGAAAATTCTGTTTATGGTTTGCATGAATCCTTTATAAAATAACACATTTTACTACATGATTCCCAAGTTCATTGCTCTAGTTTTGAAAACTATATCTACGAGTTGATTTCTAAATCGTTTGGTAAAACTGTTTTCCATGTTTAAAGCATACTGAACATATAATTATCTTATACAAATAATGTACTTTGAGCACAATTTTCCTTGTACTTTTGCTTGTATTCCCCTGTGAAAACATTTAAAACCATAAAAGCGTAAGGGTATGAACTCACTGATTGACGTAGGATTCGAGTGTAAAGTCGGTGTGGATGTTGAGTGTCAACTGATGTTTCGTACGCAAGTGGATCCTATTAACATATGGTAACACATATATGTATTAGATTAGGGTATTTCATGACTAATCATGACGGGAAACCACCCTAATGACCTGGAAACACTGGAACTAAGTGCCGGATCCATAAACGATCAAATGAGGGAGGTGTACGCCCACCCTTTGGGTGTGTACGGCCCATGAGTGTACAGTCGTATACTTATGATGGGGAGTGTTTTTGAGGTGTTTCCAAGGTTCTACAAGCATCAATTGAGTGTTGTAGTTCCCATACTGAGTGCTATTGCAAGTTTGAGGCCAAATATGAGCATCTAAGTGGGTGTACGGTCATGAGGATGTGTGTGCGTCCGTACAGAGGTGTGTACGGACGTACAGAGGCGTGTATGGTCGTACACTCTTCATTTATGTACAAAATGTCGATTTTGAGGTGTTTTAAGGCTAATACCAAGTCCAATCTTGAATATAGGGTCCAAACTCTCACTTTGGAGAGCCTTTAAGGTGTGTACGGCCACCTTATGAAGGTGTGCGGCCGTACACCTTCAAAGGATGAAGAACATGAGGAAACTTGATGAATTAAGGCTTAGATCAAGAAGTCTTACAAGTATAACAAGCTAGATGATGGAATACTTAAGTTTTTGAAGCCTTTGGAGGGTCTTTATGTGAAAGTTCTAGAGAGAGAAAGTAGTGTGCATCCAAAAGGGAAAAAGAATGAATGAAGGGATCTCCTCCTATATATAGAGGTGGGTGTGCGGTTGAGGGGTGGGTGTGCGGCCGCACACCCATGTGTACGGCCGTACACTCCTCCCAAGAGGGTGTATGGCCCGGTTGTTGTACTATGACTTGGTATTACTCAACCTAGAACCCAAAATTTGATTGTATGAGGCTTAGAATGCTTTATCAACCCTTAAGCGGTGTTAAATGGTGATGGAATCGAGCTTAATATTGATATAATTGACCAATCGTACAAGATGGAAATTTCGGGTTGTCACATCATCCCCCAATTAGAGGGAATTTCGTCCCGAAATTCAAGATTAAAGATACAGATCATGGATTTAGAAAAGCTAGGGGTACTTCTGTTTCTTTGAGTCCTCGTGCTCCCAAGTGAATTTAGGTCCCCGCTTGGCATTCCAACAAACCTTCACTATCGGGATGTGACTTTGCTTTGTACGTTTGACCTCCCGATCCATGATTTCGACTGGTTCTTCCATGAAGTTTAAGTTCTAGTTGATTTCAATCTCATCGAGAGGGATCATAAGGGTCTCGTCGGATAAACACTTTTTAAGATTTGAGACGTGGAAGACGGGATGAATGTTACTAAGCTCTTGAGGTAAACGAAGTTTGTATGCTACGGGACTAATCCTAGCAAGGATCTAGAATGGTCCTATATATCTTGGATTTAGCTTTCCATGCTTTCCAAAGCGTATCATGCCTTTCTAGGGTGAGACTTTCAACAGGACACGGTCTCCAACTTGGAACTCCAAGGGTTTTCATCGTTTATCGGTGTAGCTCTTTTTTCTGTCTCGTGAGGCTTTCAGTCGTTCTCTAATATGTAAGATCTTTTCAGTGATTTCATGGATGATTTCTGGACCAGTGAGAGTGTTGTCAGGGACTTACCCCTTGGCTAGCTGGGTGTCACCCACCTCAGCCCAACACAGAGGGGATCTACACTTACGGCCATAGAGGGCTTCGAACAGTGCAGCCTTGATGCTGGTATGATAATTGTTGTTGTAGGAGAACTCTAACAAGGGCAAATGGTTGTCCCATGACTTATTGAAGTCGATGATACATGCTCTTAACATGTCTTTCAAGGATTGGATGGTTCTCTCACTCTGCCCATCTATCTGAGGATGGTAAGTTGTGCTCATATCCAACTTAATTCCCAGAGCTTTCTATAGTGACTGCCAAAATCTTGAGGTAAACCTGCTATCTCGATCGGAGATAATGGACACAAGCACACCATGCAGTCGAATTGTTTCATGGATGTATATTCATGTGAGTCTCTCCATTTTGAAAGTCTCCTTGATTGGTAGGAAGTGAGCAGATTTTGTCAGTCGTTCGACTATTACCCAGATGGTATCGTACCCAGTCGGAGATTTTGGTATTTTGGTAATGAAATCCATAGTAATCATTTCCCACTTCCACTCAGGTATCTTTGGCTGTTGGAGCAAAATTGAGGGCTTCTGATATTCAACCTTCACCTTGGTGTAAGTCTGGCACGTGCTCACGAAGGTAGCGATCTCCGCTTTCATGTTTTGCCACCAATATAGTTTCTTGAGATCAAGTTACATCTTGTCTGAACCTGGATGAATGGAGTATCTAGTCTTGTGAGCCTCGTTCATAACAATCTTTCTGTAACCCCCAAACTTTGGGGTCCAAATCCGATTCATGAAGTAATCTCTAAGTTCTTCTCCATTCCTCTTAAGGCTTCATCTGCCACGTTATCTAGTTTTAGGGCTTCCAGCTGAGCCTCTTTGATTTGTGCAGATAAGTGGGAATGGATAGTCATCGTCAGTGCCTTCACTCTACGACCTAAGCATTCCTTCCGGCTCAGGGCATCCGCCACCACGTTGGCTTTGTCGGGATGGTAGCATATTTCACACTTATAATCACTGAGTAACTCTACCCATCGTCGTTGTCTCATGTTCAACTCCTTCTGATCGAAAATATGTTGCAGGCTATGTTCAGTGAAGATTGTGCACTTGGTTCCGTAGAGATAATGCCTCCATATCTTCAATGTGAAGACCACTGCTCCCAATTCCAGATCGTAAGTTGTATAGTTGACTTCATGTGTTTTCAGCTGTCTCGAGGCATAATCAATAACCTTTCCCCGCTGCAAGAGCACATAGCCTAGGCCCTGATTGGATGCATCACAGTAGAGAACAAAGTCCTCTGTCCCCTCAGGCAGAGACAGGAAAGGTGTGCTGCATAGGGCTTGTTTCAACTTTTGGAATGCAGTGTATTGCTTTTCACTCCAAAAAAAGGGTACACCTTTCTGAGTCAGATTGGTTAAGGGTTTGGAAATTTTGCAGAAATTTTTAATAAACCTATGGTAATAGCCAGCGAGACCCAAGAATTGAAGGATTTTTGTGGCTATCTTTGGTGCTGACCAATTATCTATCACTTTGATTTTGTAAGGGTCCACGTGTACGCCTTCCTCGCTTACCACGTGACCTAGGAAAGTTACTTTTCGAATACAGAATTCGCACTTGGAGAATTTCGCATATAGCTTCTCCGTCCTTAGAGTTTCTGTAACGACCCGTCTCTAGTATGTTGATTTTATATTATTTATTTTAGAAGTTTGCAGAGGGACTCGACGAGTCTATGGCCCGACTCGTCGAGTAGAGTCGTGATCTTGAGCAGCATATAGGTCGGCGACTCGGCGAGTCCATATTCGGGACTCAGCTAGTCGTCCTGCCAGGTAGAAACCCTAAATCCCCGGGTTTGCATCCTATTTAAACCATCTTATGAGCCCCCAAACTCGTCTCCTTCACCCTCAAAGCATTATTTAGCAAACCCTAACCATTCCATTGAGTATTTGAGCATTTCTTGTGTAAATCTTGAAGTTTTGAAGAGAAGAAGTAGGCTAGATCCAAAGGAGAAGAAGAAGATCCAAGTTGTTGCACCCATTTCAGAGTTTATTGAGGTAATAATCGGATTTCTCATGTTTTTATGATTGATTCTCCTTTAAAAGCATATTTAGCCCATTTTATCCATTCCTTAGCTTCTTCATAGTAGAGAAATCATATTAGATTGATTAGCTTTCGGATCTAGCCATGTTTCAGTTCCAAACACGTAGATCTATCAACTTTATGGAGCCATTTTGCATGATAGCCCTAGATCTACTCTTCCAAGTGCCTTTTTAGCCTTTATATCCTTTTGTATGCATATGTACACGTAAAGTTGGGAACTTTACGTGGTAAACCAGCCTTAGGAACTCAGATCTATATATTGTATGCAGTGGTTTTGAGCAGAATCGAGTTTTTGGTAATTGCATGCATGTGACTCGGCGAGTCATTCTTCGGACTCAGCGAGTCGAGTCGTTAGTCCCCGATCCTTCCCCTTTGAGTGATTCCGAGTGGGGACCAGTGAGTAGTAGAATGGACTCAGTGAGTCGGAGCTTAGTCTCAGTAATGGAGGGACTCGACGAGTTGTTCATACAACTCAGCGAGTCTAAGACAATCTTCAGAGATTCAAGAACAACTCGTCGAGTTGTTCATAAAACTCGGCGAGTCGGATGCAGTTAGTCGGAGTTTTAGGATCAAATGGGAACTCGTCGAGTTTATGCCATACTCGACGAGTAGCAGCGATCAGGGTTGAGAAATGAGAGTAGGGACTCGGCGAGTTGGCGGCCCAACTCGGCGAGTCAGGTCAACTGTAAGTTGACTTTGACCAGAAGAGTTGACCTTGACCAGGAGAGTTGACTTTAGCCAGGGGTAAAAGAGTCATTTTACCCCAATGCAGTTATTAGTATTTTGATTGAGTGTATTTGTGGAATTGTAGCCGGGGAGATACCGGAGCAGCAGCAGATAGCTTCCAGAGCCATACACTCAGCAGCCAGATCACGAGGTGAGTTTCCTTCCAGTAGGAACGGGTCTAAGGCCACAATGCCGGCCCGTATAGCTAGTAGTAGTTTCCGGACTTCGGTCCGATGCAGATTTTATTATGTTTGATGCCTTCGTGGCTCAGACAGGATTTATGTGTTATGTGTTCCGGGTTACAGCCCGATGCAGTATGTTTATGTGTTCATGCTAGTTGATATGTTTATGTATGCTATGATCAGTAGTTCCGGACTTCTGTCCGATGCAGTCAGTTCCGGACTTCGGTCCGATGCAGTTAGTTCGGACTTCGGTCCATGGGAGGCAAGGCCTCAATAGTTCCGGACTTCGGTCCGATGCAGAGGGCAAGGCCCTGGCTAGTTCCGGACTTCGATCCGATGCAGTTTCCGGACTTCGGTCCGATGCAGTGGGCAAGGCCCAGTATGTGTTTATATGTATTGTATGGTATGTGGTAGTTTGGGGGAGCTCACTAAGCTTCGTGCTTACAGTTTCAGTTTTGGTTTCAGGTACTTCCGCAAGCAAAGGGAAGAGCTCGGGTTGATGGCATCGCATACACCACAGTTTCAGTTGTCCTGGGAGATGTTTCTAGTTTTTCATAAATGTGATTGATACAGTTTTGATACAGTTCTACATAACTATTAGTTACTGTTTTGAAATATTGACGTATGAGTTTTACTTTGTGATATTATTTTAGTACTTTTAGCAATTGTTAAACAAAAATTTTTGGGTCATATTTTGGGATGTTTCAAGTTGGTATCAGAGCCTTGGTTTGAGGAATTCGGATACACTTTCGGGTGTGTCTGAACTCAAACTAAGGAAACGATAAAGATTTTCAAAAGAAAAATG